ACATATATAACACGAAGTAATAGATATATAATTGTTTTTTTTTTCTAAAATATTATTAATAATTAAATACCAATAATTTATCGGAAATAAAATAATTTATTACTATCTTGTGTTATAAAAGAGGTTTTACTTACAAAACAAGATTATTTTCATTTAGAACGGAAACAAATTAGTCAATACAAAATAAAAGAATCAAAAAGAGAGGGATGGATAAAAAAATAACGCGTACTATTTACAGATCTCCGATTCCTGTTTCGTAACTCGTTATTATGTAATACATATGCTGACACACACATACACTTATCAACATGAATTAGAGCACGTAAAGCGTTTAATTAGTGATCCGTGAAGGGATGTTAATTAACGCGATCTAATCTTAGTATCGATCGCGCGCAAAAATCATCGCGTCTAGTTTTTTTTTCCGTGCTTTGATAGTGATAAGAACATATCGATACAAGAGCGAGTCGCTGATATGCAGAAACTCGTCGTTCAATTTGATCGATTAATGTACGTCAGCGTGTGTTGGCTTATAGATCAACGCACGCGTAACTACGCTGTATGATATTAAGATAAAAAAAATCGCGTAGATAAACAATCAAAACATGACGTAATGATGACAAAACATAATGATTCTATTCGTGAGGACGGGAGAACTGTTTGTCTGATCCAACCGCGATACATCTCGCGTGGAAAAGTCTACCGGTTGTTCCTGTTGTTCTTGTAAAAATTATCCTCCAAAGATTACAAGCAATCTGGCTAGTGATCTATGGTCCGATGACACCGGAAGAGGATAAACATTTCAAAAATCTATAAAGTTCCGCAGAATTTCAAAAAAAAAAGCGAGGATAAAGCATTTTTAAATTATGACGAAATGATAAGCCGCAATCAACCGTTGAGACATAAATAGGGAAATAATATTCTAAAATAATAAAAACAGCTCCAGAAAATGGAGAAAACAAAATCACATCGTTCCTGATGTAATTTAATGTTAAACATCAATGCTTCACCATAAATCTTAATTAAAACTTCACGAATATATCCGCAATCATATAGTTCTCTTACAAACCTGACTTATTATCTGTGTTATTTAATGGTGTTAAAAAATTTGTGTGTGTCTTGTTCAGATATATTTTAAGCAACTAAAACGATATAACGAAAATCGTCTCTTAAAAATCTCTAAAAATCTTGGCAAGGTAGCACAAATGACAGAGAAATTCTGCATTGCTTGATTACTACCGATTGCGCAATATGGTGTAAACGATAACACTTTCCTGTCGGCTGTATAATAGCTCTCAAAAATAAATATCGACCGTCGTGATTAACACCACGTGGCTTATACAGTCGCGCGACGTATGATGCATTAAATATGAACAAACTGCATTGAATATGAATAATTATGAAATATTAATTATAATACCTTAACGGAAATTAATGAATAGCAATTAAATGTATATGATGGTTTGATATTCGGTATTAATAGCTAATTTAAATTCGATTATTGTCAATTCAAACAATTCATGCAGTAATTGACAACTCAATGACCCACCTAGTAACTGCGAAAGCTGTCCAGATAATCAAGCGTGTCTCAGCAAAATCGCACGAATCTGCGATTGCTTATGATGCTGGTAATTTGCAGTATATTTATCTTCAACGAATATACCGACATTGTAGCAACACGTAACAATGTATTATATGTATTGTTAGCAATTTAACGGCAAGATAGCGGTTTTAAAATTACTTCGCGTTGCCGGCAATACGACAAAGTATTGTGTGATCCTATAGATATAAGGTCTGTTCTTTTTGGCTGAATTTTTGCACCAGTTCATCTTATTTCCTTTTCTCTTCAGGAGAAAAGAAGAGGAAGAAAGATGAACTGGTGCCAAAAAGCTTAGCCAAAAAGAACACAGCCATTGATTATTATAGCAACAGCACGAATTTGGATGATGATTTGAAAATTATTGGCAAATTGGCTGATAAACTGTTACCTAAAATTGTGTCAGATTTTGTGAAGGTATAAATCTGCCAATAAATGCAGACTGAATTGTTGCGATTCTGGTAGCAGCACATACTTATTTGCAAGCAACATGCCAGCAACAAGTTAGACACGTTGCTATCTGGATAATTGCCCGAGCGGGAAAATCCATGCGAAAATCCGTCACGAATAAAAGTACCTTTCGTATACGCATGCGGCGTGGCGCGAATAGCATCGAGAGAATCAAACGCCGGAAAAACTTTTTCCGTCGCGCGGAGCCGTGATAGGACCGCTAGAGCGTGAGGAATGGCGAAAAAAATGAAGAAAAGAGAGGAAAAAAAAAGGTGCGATGCTTGAGAGATCTGGAGGGGCAAAGGGGAATGGGAAAAAAGACGGCCGAAATGCCATCGGAAACAGAAAGGGAAATGTGAGAAAAGGATGGAAATCGGAGGAAAAAGGGAGAGGGAGAGGGAGAGAGGGAGAGAGAGAGAGAGAGAGAGGGAGCGAGGGAGAGAGAGAAGGAAAATGGGGCCCGCAGAGAACAAGGAGCGGGGAGGGGAGGGGGGAGTGGAAGGCAACTCGTGTACTCGTAAGCGAACGTTGCGCCGTGTCGGGACGGGACGGGACGGGAGAGGAGGGGAGGGGAGGAGGAGCGAGGAGCGCGATGGACGCTCCGAGTCCACAGTTAGTCCCTCCGAGAGAGGACCGTTCGCGAGAGGAGGTAAAGCGCGGAGCGGAACGAGCGGAGGGAAGCGCGACGTCGCGGGCGCAAGCGCATTGAGCTCTCGGAGCTACTCGCGGCGTGCGCCACAAGCCACAATCTACATTGAAAGCTTGCGACATGCCGCTGCGGCGCTCAGTTGCGCGTCAACTCTCAAGTGAGTTTGTCGTTGTCGCATTGAGTTCCCGTATCCTCGAGCTCCTACGTAGCGGTCCTTCCGTGTGTATACCGAGTGCGAGAGCCAACGAGCGTACACAGGAATGTATGGCTGTGCGCGTAGGCGTCAGTAAACCGCGTCTATAAGACTAACCGAATGAACGCGCGTTGACACGCGCAATCTGCAGATAACGTTGTCAAGACGGGAACGTGTTACCGTTGTCCTCGGAAATCTCGGAATATATAATATATCCGGGGGGATCGTTAAGTAAGTATTTGGAACAGTGTCAAAAACCACGACGCGCGCGCTTTCGAGGAAAACGAGATCCATTTGTTGTTTGTTGTCCACGGCGTAGCGCGGCGGTGACGGCGTGACGGCGATAAATACTCCCCGGAAAGTAATAAATACTCTCCTCATCTCCTACCGGCTCGTCTCGGACGACGTAGTACGCGCTACGACGGCCGAAGGAGAGGGAGAGATAACTAAGTAGAACTGAGACGGACGCAAGGACGTTTCTGGCGTACAAACGGACGGACGGTATACAGGTGGTAGCGGTGAAGTAGTCGGGAAGTAAGGATTCCCATCTGTGATGTGCGAGTGAGCGATGGAGTCACCAGTCATGTACGATTCGACGGCCCATCAGGCCCAGGCCCAGGGCACGGCTGATTTGAAGAAGTCCCAGGTGCTCAACAACAATACCAGCAATCAGAACAATAACGCTGCGGCGAACAACAACAATTCCGCGCTGCAGATCAACCACAATCACAACCATCAGCAGCAAAATAGCGCGGTGGTGAAACAGGTATCCGGCAGCAAGGCGAGCTTACATCAGCAATACGCCGAGCATTGCGCCGCTGCTGGCGAGCTTACCGATCTCAATGCTCCAGAAATTTCTTTGGATCTTCAAAACTTGATCGACGATAATCAATTCAGCGATAACATACTGGATATGCTTGGTCCCAACAACAACGCTATGAAACACGTGAGGACGGGCGGTTATCCCCGCACGACGCTCGCCTATATGCCGCAACCGGTGCACAGCGGAGCGACCTATCATCAGAGCAGCAACAGCTGCAGCGACAGCAACAGCTCAAGCTCAGAGTCGCCTAGCATCAAGGAGGAACCATTGGACCCGGCGGATTACAGACGTCACTGCCCTCAGTATGCACCCACCGGTTACAGTTCGGTGACGAATAACCCGTTCGCCAATGGTGGCCAGACCTTTACCACCTTGACGCCGTCGACGATACCGGGCGGTCATCCAGGTGCGCCGGTTCATCAGCCGCCGCCGCGGGGGGGTGGCCCCATGAAGGGGCCGGTAATGGCCCATCAGCATCATGCCAACGCGAACGTCGCCAGAAAACAAACCAAGGCTATCGACAAGGCAAGCGACGAGTACAGGCGACGGCGGGAGAGAAATAACATTGCCGTGAGGAAGAGCCGCGAGAAGGCGAAGGTGCGATCGCGTGAAACCGAGGAGAAGGTCAAGCTGCTGGTGAAAGATAACGATTTGCTGAAGAAACGGATCGAGCTGCTCAACGAGGAGCTCAATGTACTCAGGTCGCTCTTCAGCTCTGTCGGCGTCGTACCCGAGCAATTGCACCGCGAGATCTCCAGGCATCTCGACCAGTTTCAGCAGCACGCGGTCGGACCTATGTAGCAGCAGCATCAGCAGCAGCATCAGCAGCAGCAGCAGCAGCAGCAGCAGTGCATGGACATTGCCACGCAATTCGAGATGACATCGTCTTCCGACGACATCGTCGTCGACTCGCGTCCCTGGGCTATCAGGCTGCTCCGATTGTGAAAACGAAGTCAGTCCGCATCTTCCGCTTCCTCTTGCTTCTCTCCCGTTTTTTCCCGCCCCCCCGTAGTATCGCCGTATATCGCGTACATCTCCGAGGAGAAATCGTCTTTCCTCCTCCATCCCACCCTCCCACCCTGCCGTTTACTCATCCATCTTTTGCCTTCTCCTTTCATCTTCTACGTCGTCCTTTATATCTCTCGCTTAGCTCAGAGTGCTCGATGCGAACACACGTGCGTCGTCGTTCGCGTTGAGATCCGCGAAGGCGCGAACATGGAGGAAGAAGGAGAGGAAAGGGAGGGGATTGGCGGGCGATAGGAGGGCGAGCGAGAAGAGCAAGCTATTCTATGCTTTCGATGACTGAAAAACGCGGTCGGCGTGGTCTTCACGCAAGAGCTTCGCATTTCGTTAGTAGTGGCTTTGCCCGCGGGACGTGCATCCCTTCGCTTCAGAATGCTGTTCGGACATTGAGAAAGCGAAAGGGAGGCGAATACCAATAAATAAAAGAGTAAATCGTGAAGAGTCAATCGCGTGAACCGCTAGCAAGCCATCGTATTACGATATCTCTCCAGATATAGACGCTTAGAGTCGACGAAGAACGCGAGAAAGGCAATCCAATTTTTCTTCGTCGTTCGTATTTTTTTTCTTTTTTCCCCCTTAGTGTCTTACTTCTCCTTTATAGAAATCTAATTTAGTACTGAAAATTACTTATTTTGAGTATTAAGAGCACTGAATACGAATTGCGTATTTTGAGTAAAAAAGCGTTGCTCTTGATACTTAATAAAATAAGTGGTTAATCTAAATGTTTGTAAAGACGTACGACTTTAGGGTACGAAATTACCTATCATTCTTCTGTTTAACCTGTAACTTGACATTTACGAGCTAAATATAAGTAAGACTGAGTGATCCATCGATTTTCAAAGCCATCGATGGGCAAAATAATCGTAATACGAAGGCTAGCTCCGACATCTCGAACAAATCGTGTCTCGATGTGATTCACGCAAGAGAATCCTCACTTTAGTTGTATATTATGTTTCGTATTACACATAAACACAGAACACACACCTAACACATCTCCAATGCGAAAGACACGTATACACGGCGCTGTATTTAGATTCGGTTTTTAGATAATGTTAAATTAATGAAACTTAGGCTATTGTTCGTAATTACCAAGTACCTAAAAAAAAAAAAAAGTCATATCGAAACACGGGGATCTATATCAACGTGGCTCGCATCAATAATCGTGCAACAATGAGACAAGTCGATATCCATCTTCTCTCGATACGTATTCGCTTCCGCGCTCGTTATACTCGACGAAGCGCCAAGCAACACACAGCCGAGCACTTTATCCACGCTCTTGTATTATAGTACTAATTAATTTTATTATATTCGAGATGTATGTACATATAAAAAGCTAATATATTTTGTTAAAAGAAAAAGCTGAGAGAAAGGGGGGAGAGAGAGAGAGAGAGAGAGAAACGGGCGGAAAGACTCGGGAATAGTCAAGCGGATTGTATACGTGCATGCATGCGAGCGTGTGTGAGCCGTATAACGTTTTTACGTATGTATATGTGACATCGCGTGCGCGAATGCGTCGGGAGAGACAAATTGTTGTAATTACATATTTTATTAGCGTCGAGAGTGAGACCGATAATCAAGCGTGGAGCGGAAGAGTCAGAGAATCATGCATGAATGTTTTATACAAGCGTGCAGTCGCATGAAGCGTGGCTTCATCTTCGCCGATGCCAATTCATACGCGAATCCGATGCGTACCAACAGTCAGCAGCACCGGTGTGCACCGTGCGTTTATCATTTATGATCGCACCGTATATCGTACATGTAATGTGCGCGTATACTTGCGCGAACGATTTAATTATTTACAAACCGAGACGTGCGACCGCGTGCAATTAGTGTGAATGCGAGAGAGAAAGAGAAAATTGTTACGCACGCGTGCCTTGGTGTATGACTGACGTACGACTTTAGGGTACGAAATTACCTATCACGGTTGTCTCTTCTTGTCTATGCACAAATATATTTTGATATGAAACGTATATATAACGCGTCTGCCTCTGTTTCTTTTCTTATCTCTAAAAGTTGCCTTACCTTCCCCGCATTTCCCCTGTGTCTTCCTCCGGCTCATCAATTTAATTCTTTATGACGTACTTAAGCCTTTGACGCATAAAGCTGCTTCTCTACGACTGATAACGCTCTCCGATGTAATCTCGGAATTTAAAGAACTATATGCAGAACTTTTCCATTCTTTCATTATCGATTTCATATCATGTTTTACCGTTATAAATACATTATATGCTTATATTTGTTTTCACACAAATGCAAATATCAATTTTTAGTCGTTCATCAGAAAAAAATATAATATTTAGTATATTCAATTCAATTTAGTCGTTCAATTACAAGTCACGTTTTATCTCTCTTTGAAGATCCCTTATAAAATCTAAATAATTATTCTTCAAAATGTAGAAAAAAATTTTTCTTTCACTATTACTACATTAGCAATTATCTATATTTATATCTTTTAATTTTCTAAGATTCTGAAATGAAAAAGCTATTTATTCAACCATTACGCCATTTAGAAAAAATTTGTATTACAACATAACATAAAAATGTGAAAAATAACATTATAAAATTAACCAATCTTGCTCAGGTGTTTAAGAGAATAAAAATTCAAACCTTAAAAGTATGAAGTAGATAAGGAAACAGACTCACACTCGTTATCATTATGATAACATTTTGACTTGAGATTAACGTAGGGTCAAGGCGAGAGCGAATCCCATTGAAGGGATATTTCCACGAGCGTGTAAAATAGTCAGCCATTGATTTCTACCGGAAAACATTTATCGACACTCGCGCCCAACATAAAGCGCGCGTACGGAAAAACGATCGAAGCGATGGCGCGCGAATCCATCGCAACGAGTGAGTCACGAGATAAGTTTGTTGTTAGTCAGATTAAATAGATTAGCACCATTGTGACGAGCGTGACGCGCGTTGTAGCGCGCCCCGCGGAACAGGATACGGCGCGTTCCAACTTCCACGCGTGTACGCGCGGGCGCACGTGCCCGCATCTCAAATCACACGCACATAAACGTACGCGAACAAGGCAGGTACGCACGAGGAAGCGCAACGGTCCGCGTGGCGTAATTGGCGAAACGAGTTTTTCACATCGCGATGCAAAATCAGCGAGATGTCACAGTGCAAAATTTCGTCTGTAACAATTGAGAGATTAATTTAAGTTCCCCTTTCACTCACCACTACTATCTCATATCTCGTGATGACGAAAATATAATAAGAAAATACACAAAAAAAAAAAAATCCTTGCAAAATACCTATATTAATACGGAATCGACTTTGAAATATCTAAAAAAAGTCTCCTTTTTTATTTCTCCATTAAGTAACAAGTAAAAATAACCATACGCGCCTCCGGAAGTGAATTATGCACAGAACTAGAAATGAAATTCACAGTTAAGTATGATAAACTGTCAAATTAATAATGTATAGAAATAAATATAATAAGTAATTTAATTTTTTTTTTCCAAAACAAGCAGATAATTTTCAGTATATTTTATTATAGTCTACCTTATTGATTTGTAAATGTTTAAAAAAAATATTTTTATTCAAATATAACTTGCAAGAATGTTTATTGTGTGTTCTCTCGAATTGACAAAAAAATTGAATGAAGAACGCTTAAATACATTAAATTAAAAGTGCTTCAAGTAATTCGTCAAATATTGTTTTATAAGTAAATGTTCAATGTTCACTTTTAACTACGTCGTGATAAGGATATAAAGGTGAGAAAGTAAAACTTTGTAAAATTAAATAAAAAGTTTAACAGGTATACATCGATATATATATATTAAACATACATATTTAATGTACACCCAATAACTCGATACTCACTTTTCGATTTTGCTTTCGAAAATTATTGCTAGGGAATGAATCTCCTCAGATTTTTTGTTGTGCTTTTCGTACACGGCCTCGCGTAAACTTGCAGTTTGGTTTGATGATCCTCGCGGACAATTTATTGTATTTCTACGTGATAGAATGCAGAGATTATCGTATGCATGCGACAACTTACTGTCCGGCGCAGAATATATGCAGGCGAGTGTACAAAGAATAAAAAAACAAGAATGCCGAGACGGAATACTTCCGAAGAATTGGAAATGACATTGATGCAAGAAGACATGTATACTCTCAAGGTGCACTGCAGGATCTTAAAATGTCGAACAACTTAAAAGTCGAAAATAGCGAATAGCAACGCAAAGAAAAATACCTTTTCATAAGAAACACATTATTCGACAATTAGTAGAAAAGAGGAAGTTTCATAAGGCCGATTTTCGGCCTTGTTTAAATTTCATTTTAAACTATCAGAAACGTTTTATTATTGTAAGAATTATTGAAATTATAGATCATCTGCTAACTGTTTACCGAAGAGCCTGAAAATCGAATTTAAGTATAGGCTGCAACCTAAATAGTTAACAGTGTAAACGTAATCAATGACATCAGATACACGCTTAATACTGTTTTGAAGTTAATTCGTCAATAAGCTGCGTTCGGTTTTGGCATTCACACGCTGTAAGCATGTAAGCATCATTCTATCTTTATTGCTCACTACATGTGGAAGGAAAGTAGAATGAAACTTACAGCGCGTGAACGCCCAAAGCGAACGCACCTATAGACTAGACTGAAAGAATTCCGATAGCATCGCTTTATATTGTACTACTGTGAAAACTGAGGGAGTATTGATTAATGAGCGATAGTCTATTATTCATTTTCTGTTAGTCCATTTGTTAATTTATCTTCTAATGAAGCTTTAACTTTTTGTATGTATAATGTATATCTATATCTAGCCATAATTCCGAGTAATCGAATCTCCCTGTAGACCTGCACTAAATCAGTCATAAGTTACTTTTTCAATACTACGGACATGTTTATTTTAGTCACAGGCACATGTTTAATTAACAAGACACAGATAAATCTTTCAATATTTTGTAATAATCTTTTTGTTACAATCGTAAAAATAGCTTGCATAACATTAATTTTGTGAGCTATTACTTCTAACAAACTTAATGTGCGAAATATAACATCTTCAGAATTTCAAAATACGAGGTGTTAAAATTTCAATTATGA